AGAATTAATAATTTAATTAATAAAAAAAAACTAAATTGAACTTGCATGTGTTTCCAGTCCAACAAAAACGTAAGATTTACACCGTTAGTCTTGAAGTTTAAGCTACAAGGATAGAAAGGGTTGTTGTTGCTGCCGCTGCTGCTGCTGGTGTTTGTTTCTAGAGAAAAGAAGAATGAAAGATGGCACGGGCTTTTAAGAAAAGGGAGGGCAGTGGTGACATTAATGAGAAAAAGGGTATTTTTCCAACCGCCGGGCCTTCTGCCAATACTGCGTCGCTTTCACTATCCACCGGAGCTATTTAATGAACCTGCCCTTTCAACAAACTCTAAAGATTCTAACGCCTAACTTATTACTGCTTTTACTCAGACGACCCAGCCATGGGTTTAACCAGGGAGCTTCGGGGTGCGGTGGACTTTTATGCCTGGCTCCTTGACTTGGAAAACAAAGGCTGTGTCTTGGTCGCGAAAGCCTGCTCAGGTAGACAACAACAATTCTAAAACAAGACATCCTTTCATTTCATATCATTGCAGATTTCTTAATCAATCAAGTAGTAGCGTGTACTCGTACTGGTGACGAGGATAACAAGGACACGTAGAAAGTTTTTCCTTTTTCTTTTTTTTTTTTTCTAAAGTTTTGATTTTTCCTTCTTTTCTTGCAACCGACCCCTCCATTCCCAAGTTGTCCTTTTTTGATAGAGTTTGGTCCTTTGGGACCAACTTGAGCAAACATTTACTTCATGTTCATTTTGTGGGTTTCAGTTTGTTCGATGAGATGATCCATCCATAGTCTCTTCGCTCTTTTCCATGGATTGAATAGTCAAGCTTGCCATTGCACTTGGAACGAAAGCTTTTCCATCAACTGTTGTTAATCTGTCCAAACATTAAATTTGATTAACAAAATTTACCATATACAAAAACATTCATGTTGTTATTAAATAACATAATTCAATCTTATACCAAATAGGTAAAAATCTTATAGAATATATAAATGTAAATATTACATATTTTATTAAATTAAATTTTCAAAAAAAAATTATGTATGCAAAAATCATTTAAATTCTAATATCACAAGAAAACAAGTTAATGAAGGTGAAAACATGATTATAAAAAAATAATAATTCCATTATCGTAAGTTTTGAGTTCTTATTCAATGAATTGAATCAAATTTAAGTCAAATCATTTAAAACTATTTGATGGTCTATGTCGAGTCATCTAATTTTTTTTTCTTTTCCTCTTTGTATTGTCTCAATAATCATTGAGTTTTGCATGTAACTACAGATAAAACTTCAAATGGATCTATTCGGAATTTTGTTACGTCGTTAGAAATATCATTATGCATGGGAAAAGAAATCGTAAGCATCGAGCGACTATTGGGAGTCAAACCAAATTAAGGTTGCTAATTGGTCAAACGTCTTAATCAAAGGAGCACCTTTCCTTCCAACAACAACGAAGCGGAAGTGCTGTATGTACCGGCCTACAGCGACTGAAATGGCAAAAATGAAATTAAATTATAAATAAAAGTAAAAAGATAGTGACTGACGTGGCAATTTCCAACCCGGATTCCCCAGGTGGACCCCGACAGCCAACGCGTTTATATAATTTTCTTCCCACTTGAAATCCCATTTTTTCTTTATTTTGTTTTGTTTTTTTTTGGCCTTTATTATTTATTTATTCCTAGCTTTATCTTTAAAGAAGCCAACTCATTAGCTCACGTGTAACATCATTTCTAACAGTTCAAGATTTTTTTTAGTAAGACCCATGATTGGATTTATAATTATAATACAACATTAAAAAAATCATCAAAATAGAATAATTTATTAAAAAATATTAATTATTTTTATATATGATATTTAAATTTTTTTTGAATTATTAAAAAAATTTTAAATAAAATTTTATTTTTTATTATATGTAATCAAATTATTATATTTTAATTTTAATTTGAATAAATTATTTATTATTTTTATATTACTTAATATTGACATGAAAAATAATATATAAGCATATTATCATATTATTTTATCATTATTAAGATATGTTAATATTACATGATATAAATTGATAAGGAATATTTTTAATAATAATTAATTAATTATTATAAAAAATATTTTAATTTAAAATTAAATATAAAAATTTAATTAAATATAATTAAATTAATTTTTTTTAAGTATTAAGTTTTATAATTATTTTAAAATTAGTTACGTGTAAGTAAAATTTATATAAATTTGCAAGCAAATGAATTAAATTAAAAAACTTATTACTTATAAATGATAGGGACATGACATGATCGATTTGCACAAGAAAATTCTTAGAAAATTGGCAGAACGGAGAAATATAAAATAGAACAGAAAAAGAAGTGAAAATTACGTGTCCAAATGCCACTGAAGTACAAATGAAAAAGGACTAAAGCAACGTGTCCAACTTGGCCACTAGGAAAATGTCGGCTGGCCTACAACTACTAGGCAACGACTAAAGAAGACTAATGCTTCTGCTGTCTCATCACAGCGTCCACGTGGCACTATCTGATTAGCTCAAAAGTTTTGTCCTAGCAGCCACGAAGAAGAGGAAGGCCACCTTGACTTGGTCTAACCCAAAAGTTTGAGACAAGTCAGATAACTACATAAGCAAAAATGCGAGTACCACTTTAAAAAGTATACTTTAATCTTATCTTTATCAAAATTCGCCTTGTGGTTAATAAAAAAAAAAAAGTGTTTAGCTGCAAGGACTGGGGCACGGCCTGAAAGGCCAGTCCACAAACAGCCAAACCCAAGTCCATGATTGAAGATTGGATAAAACCATACGGCGTCGTATGCAAAGCCAAGAGTTCAGTTTCATGAACGAATGCGGTTTTAGCTTTTTTTCAATGATTGAGCAACTTCGTCTAAGAGATTAGCAACTACAACAAAAGTTCAGAACGAAGTGGAATTGGCTATGGCAAGAAGCTCTAGGGTATTAGATTAGAAAGAGCATATTCTTTCATAAGAACCAAAAACATTGTATGGGATTGCTGCTGAAACAAAGCAGATTGGTCGGATTTTCTTTCTTCAGTCGTCAGGTTTAGGAAGCTAAGGGGATAATTAATTCTTGGTAGCCGAAGGCCCGAAATGGTTCGTTTGGAAATGAAATTTGCAGTGGAATGACTTAAAGAAATGGGCTATGGCTCGATAGGGTTTGGAGAGTTTCACCTGTGGTTGAGCTAGCATTAACTGAATGGGAGTTTGGGCCTTGTCGAAACTACCTAGTCGGATTGCCTATGGGCCTAGAGGCTTGCAACATGAAGCCAGTAGTACATGTGATGTGTTTTGAAATGATCGTACACTCCATGTGCAGATGTGCTCTGCATGCAAAGGGGAGAGACCACATAGGTTTTTTGTCTTTGTGTTCTAATTTGATGACATTGACACAAAACAGCATAAAGGTGCGACGAATATTTCATCTGAACATATCGCATATAAGGTCCAATTGAGTCTTTCAGCACTGATTATCAACTGTATGGAAATTGAAGATTCTGCTCATCTCATACAGCCTGGCAGAATTTGCCACTCTTATCACTCAGCCAACGGAGATATCTCATGATGTGATATGAAGAAAGACTGGACGAACCAACTTCATTTGCTCAGCCAAAGTGGGAATAGCACAAAACTAGGATGGAAGGGTATCTGCTTTTATAGTTATCTATCTCGATTTCTATTGGCTCCCTCCTTCATGTTCCAGGTAAATTTTTTTTTGTCTTTTCACAACCTTTATCAACAATAGTTTCATACAATGAGTTACTTGTTTCTTTTTCTTTTGCCGTTCCAAAGATTGTACTTCTGCAATTTGTGACGAAAGTTCCATTCTTCTCATCAGTCATCATTGGAATGGTACTTGGTCCAGCTGATTCCCATCAATGCTCTCCCTTCCCCTCAGCCAGTGGATCAACAGGTTCGAATTTTCCTAAGCCGGTTACTTCGTTTTCCTGAAATATTCCCCCAAGAACTTATTTGCTTGTTGGATGTATTGTCAGTTAGGCCCCCCACGGTGGAGACTTATCACTGCAAAAAGGTTATGCAGATTCATGGTTCGCTGACCCTAAGCAGGAATAATTCAGCCGAAACAATTGACTGCCCCCGATCTCTCGCTAGATAGCTTGAGAATCCAACGGACAGATCTTGCAACCTGAGACCATGATTTAAAGACAACCCACATTGGCAAAGAGCTCCCAGATGAAAGGAGGGGCAGCAGAGAATATATTATTTAAGTCCTTAAAAGCTATTGATAGAGGGAAAATGCAAAAATGGTATCAGCCGAGGTCACTTTATTGTGGAAATGACATGGATGATAAGGATTCCAAAACATCGGTAGACTGATATATCACATTTTAGCAATATGTGTTTAAAGTTCTTGATGTACTTGTCAACAAATGATCACCACATTGTTCACTTTCCAGGACAGGATAAGTTCACTTTGATACCAAAGATAAACGCCCCCTTCCCAACCAGGCCCAAAGAATGAATGACAAAGGAAAATAGAAGAAAAAAAGCACCTGCTTTAAATGATAGCCAATGCTTTGCAATTCCAAGAATTCTGACATTAATCAATATCAACGTAATTATATACACAAATAAACACTGAATTCTCACATAGGGAGTTGAAAACTGTAGTATCGAAGTCTAACTAAAAGGAACACATCCTGAATCTGGTCCCAAACTGCAGTGCAAAGGTTTAAGCTAACCCATACTTGAACTCTGGAGTACTGGACATTGAACCAGAGATTGTCACCTAATTACATTTGCAGCAAGGGTCACAACCCACACTTGCCTGCAGTGGATAGGAGTTACGAAGTAGTACAGTGTTACTTGTTTCCACGTGGAATTTACTTAGCATTCCAATTTTGTTCTGAAGGTTGGCGGGAAACTTATGCAGGAATTTGTTTGGTTATTCTCTGTAAACCAGTTACTTTAAAGTTAACTCTGAGCCTCTTACTTAAAAAAACTCAAAGGTTCCTGGTTTCAGCAAGTTTAGCAAAATTCCTTCCTGAGTTAAACAGGACCACCTTTATGGGTTATGTGCTTTTCATACTGATAAGTCTAGAATGGTGACCTTTCCCCTAAAATAAAGTCCTGGATTCCGTAGCCCCAAGCCCCCAACTTGCAGAAGAATGGTAGGCTATCCGGGGAAAAGGGGAAGGGCGTTAAAGATCTTGAAACAGAAAGAAATGTATTCAGTGAAAAAAAAAAATTCTTCCTGCAGTGGACGCGGATGATAAGGATTCTAGTCATCAACAAGATAGGGGCCTGAAATGGATCTTCTTTGCAGATATTCCCCAAAAAGTTGGAAACGCCCATGGTTAACCACATAAGAGCTTGTCTTGCCCCAGTTGATATCCAAACTAAAGCAAAAGAGGCTTTTAATTGCATGCAAAATAACCAAGCCTTTTCGATGTTCACAAAGAAACCACGATACACTAGTAACTATGGTTTAATTACCTTGCGTTCCACAGGAAGCTTTATCACGACAGTTGTATCCAAATTGGTTTAGAACAAGATGAATTGGTGGCTCCTAGCCTTTATCTACTGTAATATAAATAGTAATATTCTCTGAGGGCAAAATTTGTACTCGCACTTCCTGGTGCAAACACATCTCAAGCCCATCGATCACCAATGTCATCTGTACGAGTAAGTCATTCTATAGTTTTGACTGTGATTTCATACAAATTAGAGTACGAATGAAGTTTAACCATCTCACTGATGGTCAATTGGTCCTCAGGAATCTTTGTTATAACGTGTTTAAGACAATTATTGAGTTATACTGAAGTACTAGCATTTAGCAGCCTGTCAAGTTTGACAAGAAGCCATAAAGAGGTACCGCAAGGGTACAAGCATGTCTCTCTGGCCAGTAGCATTATAGCATAATGGTCTCTTAAATCATGACTCCAGATTTTTTTTCCAAACTAAAGTTATATAGTAGTATGAGTTTGCTAATCCTCCATCCTGGATCAATTCAACGTATGATCAAGCGGCAACTTTCGGTTGCCTTCATTTTGTTCTAGGATCATTGTTATTCTAAAGTGAAACAAGTGCCTGGCCCACTACCAGCAATTACTTAACTTACTTGAGATCAAATCTATAATTAGCCTTTGTTTCCTGAGGGTACATGAAGTGATTTATTAAGGGACCACATGATTGTTTTCCAGGGAGTTTAGGTACAAGATGAGTCCGAGACATCTAATGGGTTCGGTTCCTGCTTTGGCACTGTAAAACAAAGTGAAATGCATGACTTGCTTGGTTTAATCACCGCAACGAAATGACTCATATCTCATCACACACTTTCATTTGCTAGCTTAGGCATATGATCCAGATGCCAAAAGCTTGCTGGAGATAGTGGACTGCCGAGCATCAAATGCGTATTTCTTTCTATAAGCCACCAGGCATGACAGCTATACTGTAGCTACTGATGCGGGAATCCCCATTTGCGTTAGAAGACAGAAGAAAATGTCGATAAGCATACAAAGATTGTTGTGATTTTTTGAGTGCACCTCTAGAGACTGTCGTAACTTGGCCAAATTTTTATTGCTCAGGAAAATTTGGGTGCAGCCTGTGAAAGCAGAACTGCTAATTTTTATGAAACCTCAGGTTGGGGTGCTTATTCTTCCAGAAACCAAAAATCCATAAACTCCAAGGATCAGTTTGAAATTACTTCCTTTTCCTTCTCAATAATTATACTGTTTTTCCTTCAATAATTGGTCTAAATAAACGAACAGACAAACAAACAAGTGAAGAAAGTGACAAAAGAATTTTGCTACTATCTAAGACCAGACAGATTGTTACTGTAGGCTGCAAAGTTTTACATGGTAAAAGAGATACACCTGTTGACTTATTCTCAGTAGAAAAAAACATGAACAAGCACAAACAATTGTACGGAAAGATCTAGCAGCCAGCTAAAAATGTTTTGGAATGTTGCTGATAAGAGAGTAAAAACTAAAAAAATAAGGGCAGCCCCTGTCACGTTTAAGATTGATTCACAACACACAAAACGCCTAAAAAGAAACAAATAAAAGAAGGGAGCGGGGAATGGGGGGTGCAGGGTGCTCTCCTTTTTCTCTCTGTAAATACAGCTCAACAGCACTCTAAACGTGAAGATTTTACGGGGGCAGAAATGGTGCGCCCGTGAACACTAAAGAGCACAGCCACTGGATTTAACCTGGACCCACCCTGATGAAAGCTGTAGCTCATACTTCTGTATGCAGCACCATTAGTGTACTGCTCTCTCTGCTTGCTTTGTTCACTTTATCCCCTACGTACTGAAACTAGTTGCTTTTTCATAACTTCACTTGGAAGAGATTTTCTTGATATAGGTACACCATTTTACTTAAATGTTTGAACAAGTTGAGAAGCAGTAGATAATAAAGTGCTGCTTTCGATTCGAGTGATGATGAAGTTGTTGTACATAAATTTTGGTTAACAGCATGTATCCGGGAAAAGGGGGTATGGACACAGTATTTAACCAACAAAACCAATGGTGGCCACAGATTTAACACCTTAAATATATTACATTTTGATCCTTTTTATGAAGTGTTGTCCACAAAAAGAATCAGTTCGATCAGCACATTTATCACGAGAGACCCTTTCCATTCTGTTTCATTATGTGGCAATCATGATGAGAAAAAATTTTTCCAGCCTGCTGCGACCGCAGGCTGAATTCATCATCCACTGTATAAACAAAATCCCAGAAAGCCAACTGATATATGTCGTTGTTTAGTAACGGTTACTAATGTGTGAGGGGAAAAACAAAAGGGATGAAGTGAAATATATACGAAGAAATGTTTCTCGGGTAAACAAAAACCGACCAAGAGTAAGTTTCTTGAGGTTTAAGTCTACCGCAAAACCATGAAATTACCTGGAAAGTAAAGTAAAACCACGTAGGTTTTTACGAAGTCCCGCTGTTTTGCAAGGAAAGCAACAGCTAAGTACCAGACAGAAGCCCACCGGCCCACCATCTCCAGCCCTCCCTTTCCCTCTTCCTTTTCTCTCTCCTCCCTCTACTATATAAGGACCACCATAGGCAGTCTCCTTGCGCATACAATCATTCTACATTTCTTTCTCTCTTTGTGTTTTTCTCTGATCCGTCTTGATTTATCACTGTAGTTTTCAGCAATGGCCTCAGGTTCGACATGGACACCGAAGCAAAACAAGTTGTTCGAGAATGCTTTGGCTATCTATGACAAGGATACACCGGACCGCTGGCACAATCTAGCCAGGGCAGTTGGAGGGAAAACCGTGGAGGAAGTGAAGATGCATTACGAGAATCTTGTCGAAGACGTCAAGCAGATTGAGTCTGGCCATGTGCCCTTACCCCCTTACAAGAAAGCAGGAGGAAGCAAAGGATACAGTTACATGGATGAAGAACAAAGGTATAATTACAACTACTTTTCACACCTTTTTTCCCCAGTATTTTCACTTTCAAAAAATGTTAATTCAGAGAGTCTTTCCCCATCGACTTTTATTTTTTCTTTTTCCAAGATGTAATTGGTCAGAATATCAGGAATTCATATCTAATCAAGTTGAGAAAATAAAGGCTTGCTTTTACTGGTATCAATGTACTTCATACACTACTAACTAAATTAATGCATGCCTAGCTAGCTTAACATTATTATACTCCTTAAGTACTAGCTAAATATGTGGCTGAGCCTTAAGTCAAAAGAACAGGTTCCAAGCAATTATTCGGTGTATGTTGTTGTATTTCCTCATGGCCAGGACTGATTTCTTTTGTTCTTGAGCAGAATGAGGAATCTCAGGCTCCAGTGAAGTATATGAACCAGAACCGTACGTGGAAAACAAAGATTAGCCCATCAATCTTGACCTTTAATAAAGCAAATGCCGCACTGAGTAACAAGCAACAAATGTATCGCTCTTATTTCATTTTCATTTCTGATCATAGCTGTACCTTCCGATACCTCCTTTATATGTATATGTGCTTCGTGTAATGTACCATGGATGACTCATAGACTCATGGCATTGGTACATGACCCACAGTTCCTTGTATGCTCCTGTTTTTAATGAATATCCTCAGATTAAATGTTGTTGTCTTCTATCATCTGACCATACATGGATACTTGAAATACCCAGATATATATGGCAATACCTTAACGCAGAATGGATTAAAGAACACACGGGCTTTGTGAATTTAATACTTGGATATATACATATTCATAAACAGAAACAGAAAAGTGAAAATATCCAAATTTAGAATGCCTAGCCACTAAACCTAAACATCATCCATCTTTTTCTCACCAAAGTTTTAATCAGGGTGGAAAATAAGGAGAGCCCACTTTTTATATTAAAAGGGAAGAGAAGGGAGTAGTAGAATGTGTGTGAACACCTCTCCCTGCTACATATCACAAGTTAATTGTCTTTTCTGTTGAGTATCATTTCCATTACCAACAGTTCAAGTTGTAAGCCATTCTTCTCTTTCTCTGCATGTATCTGTATTTCATTTCTTAGGTAGATATATGGAAGTTTTAAACCAGTAGTCTTTGATGATTTCTCCTTCTTCCCCCTCTCTCAATAAAATATATAGAGATATACTCCTAATCCTATATTAGTATAACCATACATTTTACAATGAAAACCAAAGATATGATATTATCATCAGGTCGAGCTTGTCATGATATACATATGAGCATCAGATGCTGGCTGATTAACTTGAATTGAAGATAGATTTTTCAGTCTTATATCTTACATATAGGTACAAGGAGAAAAACATCAAGAGGGAAAAGATAAGGATATAGAGAGAATCTTGCTTAGCTTTGAGAATGATTTAGCACAGATGGTTGCAGCCCCATGGAGTATACAAAAACCCTTGAGGAAACTACAGATCATGCATGATTCATAGATTTTGACTTTACAAAAAGCATGAGAAGAAGAAGAAGAAGAAGAAGAAGAAGAAGAAAAATTAAGTAATTTACATACATAGCACGTGTTGGAAGGTGAGCAAGACAAAAGTAATGCGTGATTATTACTATAGTAAGTTAGAAAAAAAAAATTTTTTAATATAAATTAGATAGAAACCGTTTATTAATAGTGAAACAGTTACTTTTAAAAAAATAGTGAAATAATTAAAACTATAATAAATTCATTAAATATGCGTTATAATCGAGGTCATAAATACAAACATAAAGAATTAACAAAAAGCCGACTGATTTAAGTTTCTTATGGTGTTTAACATGTGTATATGACCTTTGTAGTATGTTTTTCATGAGTTAAATTGGTAACGGAATTTTATTATAATTAAATTTAATAAATTAATTATAATTTAATATGATGACTGTTTGATAATTACTTTTCCAACTGCGCCTAGTTGTCTTATTAACATGAATTCCTTGAACTATGTTGATATATAATAATTTTTTTATTTTTTGATGATGAAATAATTATTTTATTGATATCCAAAATTCATATTCTTTATTAAGAATTGACATAAATTTCTAAGTTTATAGCAGTTTTTTAAAATTTTTTTATTTCAATTTAATGGGAGATTTATAATATAAACAAGAAATCAATAATTTTAAATCGAAAATTTCATCCTTGTAATTAAAAAAAAAATCTTGTGTAAATAAGTTTTTCCCGATTTTCAATTAAAACTTAAGTTTGACGGGTCATGGGGTTGGGCTTCAAGTTAAAAGAATATTTTACTTTGCTTTCTTTGCCAGATGGGCTTAATGGCCCATAACTTGAACTCCTGGACCTGACAATTAGGGCTTGGGACCAGGGTCCTATGTTGATCAGCGTACTTAACACGCGCACCACCACGCCGTCTCGTCATTTCCTTCTCTGAACCCTGTTCCTCGCTCGACCTTTGCGAAGACAAAACTGAAAGACAAAAATGGAAGACAAAACTTCTCTGTTTAAGGTACGCTAAAATCGTATGCTTGCTCGAACATATCTTTGTCTTTATTTGTTTGTCGTAAATCTTTTATACTAAGAACAAAACCCAAGAAGAAGAAGAAGAAGAAATAGTGGCTTTCCAAAAATTTTGGAGGTTTTTTTTTTTAAATATTTAATTAATTAATATTTTGCTGTAATGCAGGTCATATTGGGGTCATCTTCCATAGCTCGTCGTAAAATACTAGCTGAAATGGGATATGAATTCACAGTCATGGTAATTTTCATATCCTTTTGGAAATTTAAATGTTAATGTAATTAGAAAGAAATAGGTTCAATTTAGTTGCTTTTGTAGAGTGCAGATATTGACGAGAAAGGTATCAGAAAGGAGAAGCCAGAGGAGTTGGTCATAGCTCTTGCTGAAGCAAAGGTTCGGTTTTTACTTTATAGTGGAGTGCTTGTTTGGGATGATTATTGTGATTGATAGAAGGATTTGAGAGTCTGAGACCAATGTTACATTCATTTGCTTTGAGCAGGGTTACCATCTTTTTTAATGTGCTTGTGGGTGTGTTTTTGGGTCTTGTTCTCTCTTTCGTATTGTAAATTGGAGAGGGAGTTTTTCGTGTTTCTGTTATTGATTTGAGTGTGAATGACATCACAGGCTGATTCTATTTTATCAAAGCTACAAACTATCAATAACCAAGAGAAGGATGAAAGACCAACTATTTTGATTGCTGCTGACACAGTATGTCTTGATATCTTTTAGTTACCGACCATGTTCCCCTTTTAGACAATCTGGCCTTTTTTCACCAAATGCCATCTATGGCCTGAGGATATAATTTTGGAGGAAATAAATCTATGGACTGCTTAGTTTAAATCATATTTCTCTTGGTAAGAAGCTAGTTGTGATCTTTGGTAGATATATTAGAAAAGAATTAGAAAAGTAGGCCTAAATAAGGGACCATTCAAGTTTCGTATAACATATGCTTTTAGAATGTGGCTTTTGCATGTTCCCATTTAATTCACTAGATGCATGCTCTTTTGGTTTACTGTTTCCACTGCTGCTTTGGCCTGCTGCATGGTATTGTCTTGGTGTATACTTAGCTGGTGAAAATTTCTCAGGCAGACGCCATCTTACACAGACTCCCCGTTGGTGATCACGTAAAGGAAGCTGAGCCAACATTACTAATTACTTCTGACCAAGTATAAATCTATTCCTTTGATATGCTTTAGATTTCCTGACATGTTTAATTATGCTATATGGTCTTTGTTTTATGTGTCAAACTTTGGAAGAACAGTTCATAGGTAATCTATAACCACCATAAACCCTTTTTTGCGGATAAATATCTATTTTATATCTGTTACACATGTTATGGCTCTTTGGAAGGAAGTTCAAGCCTGAACCATATATAGATCAATTATTTCCCACCTTCAACCTATCAGCAGGTCCTGATAATTCTAATGATCCCTTATATAGATGCTGCAACTCATGAGTTCTTCTGAATAATTAGTGTGAATTCTTTTTACTATATTTTAAAATATTTTAAGGGGCCAACGTCTCACAATTAATCAGATTTACCAATTACCATTGCCTTTAAGGTAGCAGTGCTTTTCTCTTTGGAAGAACTTAGATAAACTGTAAAATATGTGCGGGACTGCCATGTGGGCATATCTTGCACTGATGTGTTGTGTGCCTAAATGCATTTGGGAAATGTATCCTCAACCATAGATGGCAATTGGTGATAATTCATGCTTTTAAGCATAGATACATTTCATATTTTCATGTTGTAGGAATAATAACTCTTCCACTTTTATTCCTTACTGTTATTGTTAAATGATCTTGAGGTGGTGGTCTATGAAGGTGCTGTAAGGGAAAAACCAGCCAATGAGAAAGAAGCTCGTGAATATATCAAAGGTTTGTCTTGATATTCTTCAAGCCAATCCCTACTTTTTACTCTTTCAAACCTTTACTGATCATTTACCAATGTGCAGGCTATTCCGGTGGGCACGCTGCAACCGTGGGATCTGTTCTAGTTACAAACCTTAAAACTGGATTCAGAAAAGGGGAATGGGACAGAGTGGAGGTATTAATGGCTTTTGTTCTTGATTTGAATACGTGCCAAATAAGGAATCTTAGCACCTGCTTGAGCAATTACCAAACTTTTGTGATGTTAATGAATGGAGAGCATCAGAGAAACCTAAACTAAATGATTTGCTGTCGTGTAATTTCACTATGTATTTATGTTCTCAGCTGTTTGAAGGAGTGTAATCAGGAGAAAAATATCTTTTGAAGAACCCTAACATATGTGATGAACATATTGAAACTCTGTTTCCATGTATGAATATATATAATGAAAATGTTTTGTTTGAACTCCACTCTCATTCCAAGGTCCTTTCATTCCTTGTGTGTGTGTGTTGGCAACTGTTCTCCAGCTTTCTTAGTCAAATTATTTGTACTTGCATCAACCTATGGTAGCCACAGAAAGAGCATCAAATGCATATGAAATAGTTATGATGGATGTCTTTTACTCGACCTACTTTATGCATGTTCATTCACCATATTCATCATGTACCCATAGTGGTAAAAACAGTCGTCAGTAAGATCTGCACTGTGCAGGCCTTGTAAGCTGGAATTATGGGATCCATTGTAGAGTTGATACATATTGTAAGGGTGACAAAAGAATGTTCATTCAGATGTGGCTTAATGCTTTTTTTATTTGAGATGCCATGCAGATATATTTCCATGAAATACCAGATGAGGTTATTGAGAAACTGGTAAGAATTTTTTTCTGTCACCCTCCTTTTCCTTTATTGCATGAGCAATATCAATTTTCTTTATCTGTTTTCTTTCTCGTTGTTCAGATTGAGGAAGGGACTGTACTACATGTTGCTGGAGGCCTGATTATTGAGCACCCTTTGATAAAGCCGTATGTTAAACAAGTGGTTAGTTTCATTACTTCTGTGATCACGTGGTGAGGAACTAACAAATGAGTAAATAATTTACATTGGTGCAGAATGTGCCACTTTCTAAAAAGTTTTGAGGCAAGAATTAGTGAATATGATTTGCCCTCCAAGTCATCGGGTACTTTGTAAAATCGACATGCTCAAAACGTGTGATCTTAGGCAATAGATGAATACTTACATGACAAAGTAGCTTGATAGAATGCCCTGATAGCCCCTGCAAGCCTTTTTCAAATCTCTCAAAGCGAACCTTAGATTGGATGCCCTTATTGTGCATGCGTCCAATCTGAACAGCATCTTTTAGTGTGGTAGCTGCTGGTTCTCACTTACTGAAAAATCTATTCAAAAATCAGAGGTAGATAAAGTGTCGTTTGGTATCTTTGCAGGTAGGGACAACAGACAGTGTGATGGGATTGCCCAAAGCTCTCACTGAGAAACTCATAAAGGAAGCCCTCTAGGAGCCGCATCATTTTGGGTTCCATTGATGAAGCTTAAGGCATTCCATAGTCTGTGTTAAGACATTGTACTTTGCCCAAATTGTGTTCACTGTTCTGAACTTCTGATTAAATCATCCATACCCCACTCGATTGCGCATTACTTTTGACGCTTGAAGTTGTTATCCAAGGCAGACTTTTGCATAATATCCCCTATTGTCAACGCCACATTACATCCAAAGGTCTGTTTATATGTCGGCATAACAGGACTACTAGTTGGTGAATTTGATCACTTTCAATTTACTCGGGAAGCATCAAAGAAGGAAGGGTTAAGAAAACCAGAATATGAGTTTCTATAGTGGCAGCATCATCATTTTAATGTCAAAGTGGCTTGCTTGGATTTATGACAGCTCCCGCCATAGCCATAACCACCTTTTCCATTGGTTCCCAGGGATCAAATCAGCGTGGCAGATCAGGAATTTCTCACTCAGAAAGCGAACTTTCTTAAGACATAGCGCAGGCAGGTTTTTCTTGTACCAAATCGCAGTATCTTTGACAAGTTTCCAGGCTTCCGTCACTTGATTGAACAAGTCCTGTCCGTAGTCGTTTATGAATTTTAGCCACGTGATTTTGCATAAACTATGAAATAAATGCCCGATTGATTAAACAAAGAAAACATCAAAAGAAACATTGTACAGTGACAAAAGCTTATCGTTGTAAACCTCGAACTGGCTGTGTCTCTGACGCTTCATCACAGCTGGCCCCCGCGTTAATCCCGTTAACGTCGTTAACAATGGCGAGGGCTGACAGTTCCGTAGTAGTAACATCAACTACCATTACCGACTCGAGTTTTCATAGCTGGCAATTTTGAGAAAACCCCAAAAAACAAAAAAGAAAAAGAAAATGATTCAAAGCCACGAAAATTCACGTGGATGTTAATCCTAAAAAAAGAACCAATCTTTAATAGTAACCTGAAACAATGATGAAAAGTCTTCCTCTTCCCATTTTGCCATGTTAAAAGACAGAACCCACGTCAAAGGAAAAGAGTCCACCTTCAAGACGCACTCTTTAGGTTCCCATCTTTGCACTTTTCTCTCTCAGCTTCCAATTCCCAGAACATTACTACTGTTTTTTTAACCTTGGGAGGCCTGGAAATCTGCCTCCTAGATTTTGTCAGTCAACTTTACAGAGCAGTCTAAAGCCCGCCAGACAACCCCCTCGGGGTTCATTAGTGGTAACAGACAAGGTCGGTATCATGGACCAAGGGGGCGCAGCCACCAGAAACGGTGGCTCGGGAAGCGGCTCAGTCGGTGTTCAGATCCAACAATCCCGAAGGCTCCCGGATTTCCTTCAAAGCGTCAATCTCAAGTACGTGAAATTAGGCTACCACTATCTAATCTCCAATCTTTTGACCCTTTGTTTCATCCCTCTAATCGCGGTTATTTCAATCGAAGGTTCTCAAATGAATCTCGATGATTTACGCCAGTTATGGCTTCACCTTAAATACAATCTAGTCAGCATAATCATTTGCTCTGCTATTTTAGTGTTCGGGTTAACGGTGTATATCATGACCCGTCCCCGACCGGTTTACCTTGTCGATTATTCTTGTTACCGTGCTCCGGACCATCTTAAAGCTCCCTACGGTCGTTTCATGGAGCACTCAAGGTTAACTGGTGATTTTGATGAATCGTCTCTCGAGTTCCAGCGGAAGATTTTGGAGCGCTCGGGGCTCGGAGAAGAGACTTATGTGCCTAAAGCAATGCACAATATTCCTCCAACGCCGTCCATGGCGGCGGCGCGGGACGAAGCTGAGGAGGTTATGTTTGGGGCATTGGATATTCTTTTTCGGAACACGAATGTCAACCCCAAGGATATTGGTATTCTTGTTGTGAATTGTAGTTTGTTCAATCCAACGCCTTCGTTGTCGGCAATGATTGTGAATAAGTATAAGCTGAGGGGAAATATTAGGAGTTTTAACTTAGGTGGGATGGGGTGTAGCGCTGGGGTTATCGCAGTGGATCTTGCTAAGGATTTGTTGCAGGTGCACAGGAATACGTATGCTGTTGTTGTGAGTACTGAGAACATTACTCAGAACTGGTATTTTGGGAATAAGAAGTCTATGCTGATACCAAATTGTTTGTTTCGCGTTGGGGGTTCTGCGGTTTTGCTTTCGAATAAGTCTAAGGATAGAAGGCGGGCTAAGTATAAGCTTATTCATGTGGTGAGGACTCATCGTGGTGCAGATGATAAGGCGTTTAGGTGTGTGTATCAGGAGCAGGATGATGCAGGGAAGACGGGTGTTTCACTGTCTAAAGATTTGATGGCAATTGCTGGAGGTGCGCTAAAGACCAATATCACCACATTGGGCCCTCTTGTGCTTCCAATCAGTGAGCAGCTTTTGTTCTTCACAACCTTGCTGGTGAAGAAACTGTTCAATGCCAGTGTCAAGCCTTATATTCCAGATTTCAAGTTGGCATTTGATCATTTCTGTATACATGCTGGTGGAAGGGCTGTGATTGATGAGCTGGAGAAGAATCTGCAGCTGCTACCAGTACATGTGGAGGCTTCCAGGATGACTCTCCATCGTTTCGGAAATACTTCTTCGAGCTCCATTTGGTATGAATTGGCGTACATTGAGGCTAAGGGGAGGATGCGGAAGCGCAACCGTGTCTGGCAAATTGCATTTGGAAGTGGTTTCAAATGTAATAGCGCAGTCTGGGAAGCACTTCGGAATGTAAAGCCATCTGGTAATGGTCCCTGGGAAGATTGTATTGATAACTATCCTGTGAAAATAAGTACCTAGGTGTACAACATTTTGAGTTAGATTCTATATTTAGACACAGTATTAATGGGAAGGTAGACCGCAATATCTTGCTTTTATCCAAGTCTTGATGTGTACTTAGTCATCCTTCAGCTTGTTATCAAATGTGGCTACCTTTGTGTTTCATTTTTTGAACTTGCATGCATCTCTGGAGTACTATCATGTGAGACTTGCTCATTTTGTACCATAACAGTCCATCTATTTTACTGGTCATTGACCTGTTTGAGACTAATTCATCCAGGATTGTTTGATTTATACTTATGAGAGTTTAATCAATGTGCCATCAGAGTATTTCATCTTTCTTTGCCCTGCAATCTTTGCCTGTATTAACAACAGAATATCTTGCCTAGCCGCCTAGGTTTATATTAAAAGCTTAGATTAGCAAACTACGCCTGTCAATCATTTCTAGGTTTGTGGTCGGAAGGAGACGAAGAGACGAAAGAAAAAATCCTCAAAACAGGGGAAGACCATGTTGATCTTTAGCTACACTTTTCTAGGATGCTTGCAGCCTTCTGGCGAGGGGTATCTAGCATCTTCAAAGAACTGCTTCCCCATTATCATGCTCTGTCATTTCACATCAGCCTACTATCAGATACTCACCTACGCAAAAATCCTTGTCAAAAGATGGAGACAAACTCGCAAGACAAACGTACAATGATTACATTTCTTGACACTGAAACATATAATCATGGAGTAATAGCTTGGATTCCTTTTTACGCTCGGATTCTACGCATGAACGTGATAATAGAAACGATCTCTCTGGTTTGATTTGAGGTCACATTGGCCGCCAAAAATTTGGGCCCAAGGAACTGTAAGGTAGACATCTACCATTGGTAGGCCTCACGTAACCTTCACGAAGCTGTTAGATGTACATCTCTTTCAATTGTTTAAACCAAAGACGACCACTTGCAGTATATGAATCATATCAGTTGTTTAAAGACTTGAGATTGGAGACCCTGGTCCCAGTGTCTTGCCTTCTATTCTAACAGCTTAATCTGTTCTACGTAAGTGTCAAAATGAAAGCGAGAGCAATTTGCCCGTCGAAAGAATATAAATGAATTTAATCACTCATATAAGCAGACAATACAGATATTTGTTTTGAGGATGAAACGGAGCCATGTAAAAAGACAAAGCCAGGAACAGAAGATGCTGGCCAGAGAATATGCGTTTTTCTATGCCAAAAAGAAGATAAATTGCAAACAAAAATTTTACATCTAGAGATCCTGTGAGAGATCATTTGAAAATGGATGCAGGAACTGGCTTCCTCTAAGCAAAAATGTAACAAGGAGACGAAAAGCTCATCTGAAAGACCATTGGATTTCTTCCAGTGTTCTCCCCTTTGTCTCAGGGACCCAAAGAGCCACAAATAGGATAGTGAAAGCGCTCACGATCATGTAAATCGTGAAGGTTCCTGTTGAAGGGTGGAGGGAGCTTGAGTTAATTAGGAAGCGAAAGCAGCAATACCATAGCTCCTATTAAGGTGTCCAAGCCATTTAAGATTTAAAAATCTTCTAAACCTTGCCAAATTCAATATTCTGGTTTTTGCTTTCTATCATACTATCAACTTTGTCTAAGGTGGATTCAGTGTCGGTGCATGAGTGCAGGTGTGTGTGTGAGAGAGAGAGAAAGAGAGAGAGGGGACCTCCACTGCTCCAATCCAAAAGCAGGTTGGCAGTCATCGTAACCACCCAAGCAAAGAACCAGTTGGAAAGTGTTGCTATGCTTCCAGCAAGACCCTTGATATTTATTGGAAGAATCTGCAATGGAACATGAGCAAAATCACGAGATGCAACTTTAAAAGGGAGATCATGGTTATCATTTTCCATTGTACTGGATGTTTTGCTGTAAGAATCAGCACTCCATGGAGAAGATCAATGGATATCAAGTGAAAGCATTGGAAACCAAGATTTTGCTGGTAAATGGTTGGTTTAGGCTTGATAAGATAAGTATGTTATCAGCTACGTAAAAGCTTGCAGGTTTCACAGATAGATTATTGGTACTTCTGCCACCCGGTTCAGCAGATATGACAAAAGTAAGCATAGCCAATCAATTAAATGGATGAAAGATGATGCTAAACAAGACAACATGTTGATACCTCTGACATTATAACCCAAGGAATGGCCCCCATTCCTAGAGAGAAGGCAACCACCATACCCTGAAAGAAGAACAAGTTATACAATTACGATTTAACAACAAAGATTCAAAGCAATAACACAGTATCATAAAGGACAAGTAACATACCACAACTCCAACTATTGACAAGATGCCCATAATGCTATAAAGGGTAGAATCACTAGATAAAACATCCTGGATCAATTACCAACAGAATTGCCATGTTAGGTAAAACTGCAAAAGAAATAAAAACCGCAATATAATTTCAGTTTACTTCTTTTTCATTTTTTGGCGGAGAGCGTTATTGTCAACAAAATCCTCCATGTTATACTACCTTTAAATAGAATGATACTGCAACAATTAGGAGGCTGAGAGTCATTCCAGAAGAGGAGACCTAAAATAGGAAAAGGTGAAACCGATATTCTTGTTTTGGTTCTAGGTTATTACCAACAAAGTACAAAAAACAAAAGTAGAATAAACTTACTATAAGCAGGAGCCGGCGTCCTGCTTTGTCCGCCAACCATGTGGTTACAGCAGTAGCAACGACCTAACCATGCATAATTCAGATTATGATCAAAATTTTTCATAAGTTCTCATTGTGAACAGAAATATTTAATAAAAAAAGAAAAGTTGTGACATTTCTCCAAGCTATACCTGAATGGCACCAAGTCCAAAGGTAGCTACATTGCTGGATTTAACCCCTGTTCAAGGTCAAAGTATCCAGTTAAGCCTTTTAACTTGAACACTAAACTTGTGGTATTAAAAGAGGAGGAAAAAGAATAGTCAGGTAAAGCCAACAAAGATGGCTGACACAAAACTGTTGATAGCCTTGTTCACCAAAACACTGTTGAAACAATATAGTTAAACAAAGTATACTAATATTACAAGGCAGGCAGATACAGATCAGCAATCTTAGGTTTGTCTGAGTTTTGGTATTGAATTTCAGAAGTTAGCACATAACTCTTTCTTAAGGAGGATTGGTGACAAGGCGGATCCACTTTCATGTACTTCTAATCAGTTTAAGGAAATAACCGACACTAATGACAAATACCATCAAAAGATCTTGTCTGGCAAATGTTTCCATGAGTGGGGAAACAAGATTAATCTTACCAGCAGCTTCAAAAATGGTACTGGAATAAAATAGAAGACCATTAATGCCACTAAGCTGTTGCAGCATAAGTAATCCAATTCCAACCTGAAACACATCGGCCGGTGAAACCAATTAAGCTCTTTTTTCCTGGTGCTATCAAGTCCTAGGGCAGTTCAGATGAATGAAAAATCACAATAAAACTTTTGAGATGATTAAATTACCATCAACGGGAACCAATATCTCTTTCGTTTGAGTTCTGCAAATCGAATTGTAGTTCTTCTAGTTGTTGATGCTACAGACCTCTGCGATATTAAAAAAAATTAACTGAAGCAGTAACTTGAGGAGAAAGAAGGAAAGGAAGGGTGCTGAATGATACCTACTAATGAATTAGAAGTTTAAACAAGAGCTTGAAAATATAGAGGTGGCTGACCAGGTTGAAAGGTGTGAAATTGAAGAAAAGTTGTTTAACTGCTTATAATTACCTTGATATCATTCACTTCAATAGAAATATCAGTATCAAAACCTCTGAGAACTTGCAAAGAAGCTTCGAAATCTTCTGTCATACCCATTTTTGCCTAAAATTAGGAATGGAAACTTGAATCAGGTAACCATAACTATCTATCTGAGCATGTTTGAGTAAACAATCTACTTCTCAAGCTTACCAGCCATCGAGGAGATTCTGGAATGAAAAAGAGACCAGGTATCAAAATTGTACAAGGAAGTATTCCTGCCAAAGAAAGAAATTAGCAATTTCCATCAGCAAAAATAGTTAATTTTGAATATTTTCCCATTGCCATCATCTAGAAACTTGAAAGTCTAATGTTCAGTTTTTCACTTTTTCCCATTCTTAGAGGAAGGAATGACTTCAACTACTCATTTAAAGCAATATAATAATAAATTTAAAATGTGAACTACCTAGCACTGAAAATGAATGGTGATATAATTAGAATGTTCAAATCTCATAAAATTTCTTGGTAAAAGCATTACACAGGACTCAGAAATGTGGAGGGGAAAACTGACAATCACACTACAGGAAGTGGCTAGAGAAGTAATATTGAAATGACTGAGCCATATGAGATCATTCTCTGAACAAAAAGTCAGATAATTACCTAAAACTGCAAGTACCCTCCACTGAACAAAAAGTCCCAGCAGATAGGCGAGCATTATTCCAATTGTGACAGACAGCTACACGGTATAACATGCAAATTTGAGTAGTCTAATAAGTGATTAGATCCTTCTACAAATATTCATTAACAATACTCATGATAAGTAGAGCCAGAGCCAACCTGATTCACTGAACCCAAAGCCCCCCTCAAGTTTTGAGGTGCTATCTCAGCTATGTAGACAGGCACCTATACATGATTAACACAATAAATACTCTCAGGATTGTTTCCAGAAAAGTTCAATCTAAACAACCAAAGCATAGTTCCACATTACCGTATAAGAGATTATTCCCACACCAAAACCTTCCAACAACCTTCCCATGTAAAGAAAAGATGAATCCTGCAAAATGCAGCAAGCGATATTCTAAGTGTAAATGATCAAGTTATATTTTAACAAAGTAGCAACATGAAGCCTGGATAATATGATCAACAGAACTCACTCTTGCAAAAGATATAGTAAGCCATCCAATTACATTAGGAATAGCAGCAATCATTAAAGACTGCAATGAACGTAAGTAGCTAAAATTAGTAATCCAAATCAAAACAAGAAACAAAAATGTGAAGCTAAATCAGTGATTGGATTACCCCTTTTCGTCCGATATACTCAGCTATCTGACCACTGGCTATTGCCCCAACCATGGCACCCACATTTGATAAAGAACCAAATAGAGAAAACTGTCCCAAAAATAAGACTCACTAGCTGAGGTAAATCAAGGAGAAAACACAGATAAACCAAACCAAAACTAAATATGTAAGTTTCACCTCTGAGACTGTTAGGCCAAGATCCTTGATGATTGCAGATTGTGTAGGAGAAGAATAACCAGACTACAAACAAATTAAACCCAGTTCAGAACTTCCATTTCTTGTTTCAAATGATAGTAAACCTTAAAGATAGATCAGAAAAGAAGCAAAGCAAGTGAAAATGAAGTTTAACTTACAGTGAAACCGAATTGGATAGGACCCAAAGCAACAATCATAACGCAGGCTACAACAGAGACGGAGCTATCACGAATAGCCTGAGATGAGCCCAGCATACTGGACCCCATCCTGGAACCCATCCGGTACCAACTTCCGGTATGTAGAAACGGCTTCCGTAGATCCCTCCCATCATCAGAATCGTCCCTGAAACTCATCTGTCCCCTCTCTCTCTATACCAACAGTCTCTTTCAATGAGCAAACACTCTCTGCTCACCCAGAGAGAAGAAAAAGGAGCCTTTTTGTTTGTCCTTTTAGACTCTCAGATTGGATACATGCTGTGAGAGAAGATTTTATGAGCTGGGACACGGAAGTAGTAAAACATGGAGTTATAAAAAAACTATTTATTATAAAACACCATCAACCAGAAAATAGAAAAAAGAGGAATCAGAACCAGAGAATCAGACGTGTAAAACGTGTCTCATAGCCCATTTGCTCCGCTGTAATAGAGAGGGACCGTGAGTTCCAGCTCAAACTTACCATAAATGGGGTCACACCCCCTCCTGAATCGAAATTGTTTTATTGATGTCTAAGAGGAGAAAGAGAGAGTTACTGATTGAAAAACCATCTTTGGCTCCGTTCGAGAGTCAAGGAATTTCTTTTACCAGAGGGGAATAGGCCTTTGGTTGTTCCTATGATTGCAAAACGTATCAATGTCTAACCAAGATTCTAGAAATGGAAGAAAAATGTAAACCAAGTTCAATCATTGAAAGCAAGTTAAGCAAAGCAACAGTTTGATTTCTTGTTAAATTAAAGTAATCAGATTTGATCTATGTATATGTATATATATATATATATATATATTCACGTGATGATGCATCAGTAGCACATAAGCAACACTTTCAACTTCGGCGTGCTGAATATATCTAAAATCGAAATCCTAACAGGTTAAAACTTAAAAAACAAGGATCCCATTTGTCTGAAACTTCTCCTTTGCGCCCTTTCGGAACAGTCCAGACTCGTTATGTATTTCCATGTTTGTAAGTGGAAAAACATTGGTCACGCCAAGGAATGTGGTCATGCTGTTTGATTGGAAGTCCAACTACCAGTCCTCGCTGTTTTAGCGAATCAACAGAAGCCTTGGAGTTGGCAATCGGCATTGTTGTACGAGTAATTTAGAAGGTCCACGTGCAAAATATGAATGAGAAACCGAAGAAGGCAAGAGGCTGGCCCCCGGTAATGAAAAAGCCAGTTATACATGGGACATGTGCACACCAAATGTTCTTTACTGGTCGGTCCAATTAGAAAGTGTGAATTTTTCTTTCCCTAAAATGCTAAGAATTTCCTAGTGGGCCGGGGAGGCCCAAAATGAGAACGTTTTGGGCCAAATTAGTGCGACCCGGACTGAATTGCTCCACCTTTTACAGGGACCCTGCGGCTCATATATGAACTAGGGCTAGGTTAGGCCTGCTTGAATTGGGCTAGGTCGGTAAACCCGTTCGTGGGACTGCTAAAACACGCGCTGAAACCGAGCGTGAACTGTCGATAAGCCATGATACTTTTCCTTCTCGGAAGACAACACTTGTTGAGAAACAACTGAGAAGCGAAAATAAAACACAGTTGAGATTGAAAGTTTTGAGGTTTTTATTTATTAGTGTAAATTAAAAGAAAAAAAGAAAAAAAATAAGTGAGTTTACTTCACTTTTCACTGTTTCGAGTCTTTCAACTTCTCATAATCACTCCACTCGCTCATGTCTTCCTTCCCCTACGCCTCCCCATAACCCCACCGCAACCGTCAACGCCGCCTGTCATTACCCTAGTCAACCACCGATTTTCTAAATTGTGACTCAGATTTTGATTGATCTCACATGGGGGAACAAACCCCGGCACAGCTTCAAGCACAGGCTCAACCTCAGCCCCAAAGCGACTCCTCTTCCTCCACCCCGACCCAAGCGCAAACCCAAGCGCAAACCCAAACTCCAAATCCGAGTAATACTTCCAACGCTGCCGTGTCCACCACCGTCACTAGCGCCGTCGTGGCCTCCGCTCCGACGGAACTGATCAATGTCCCTCCTCAAACCTCATCCCCTCCTTCCAAAATCCCTTTCCGCCCTAGAAAAATCCGGAAACTCTCTCCAGACCCTAACTCCGACACTAATGCCTCCCAACAAGCAACGACCTCCGCAACATCTGCAACGGAACCGCCTAAAACCGTCGCCAAAACTCCCAAAACAAAACTCACTCAACATCGAGCCCTAGCGGTGGTTCCACGAATCATGGCTCGGTCCCTCTCTTGTGAAGGCGAGGTCGAAACCGCCATCCGCCACCTGCGCAACGCGGATTCCCTCCTCGCTTCCTTAATCGATCTCCACCCACCTCCAACCTTCGACACTTTCCACACCCCTTTCCTCGCTCTCACTCGAAGCATTCTCTACCAACAGCTCGCTTTCAAAGCCGGCACTTCCATCTACAATCGCTTCATCGCTCTCTGCGGAGGCGAAAACGGTGTCGTTCCTGAAACTGTTCTTTCCTTAACCGCTCAACAGCTCCGACAAATTGGTGTCTCGGGACGAAAAGCGAGTTACCTTCATGATCTCGCGAGAAAATACCAGACGGGGATATTATCGGACTCGGCGATTGTAAATATGGATGACAAATCACTTTTCACCATGCTTACTATGGTAAATGGGATCGGTTCTTGGTCGGTTCATATGTTTATGATTTTCTCGCTTCATAGACCCGATGTTTTGCCGATTAACGATCTTGGGGTTCGAAAAGGGGTTCAATTGCTCTACAATTTGGAGGAGTTGCCGAGGCCTTCGCAGATGGATCAGTTGTGTGAAAAGTGGAGGCCGTATAGATCAGTTGCATCGTGGTATCTTTGGAGGTTTGTTGAGGCCAAAGGAGCGCCTTCGAGTGCTGCCGCGGTTGCTGCTGGTGCTAGTCTTCCACCGCCTCAGCAAGAGGAGCAGCAGCAACACCAGCAGCATCAGCAGCAGGCCCAGCTTCTTGACCCCATTAATAGCATTCTCAACCTTGGGTATGATATCTCTTCTTCTTCTTCTTCCTTTTTTATATGAAAAAAAATGTTTGCTTTATTGCAAATTTTGGTGTGTTAGTATAGCTGCATTTCATGAAAAAGAAATGTTTTTTCCTTCCCTTTTAGGAGCTCAGTTGATGCCAAGTTAGAGGCATTTGACATTATCCATCTTAAGAGCTTACTTATTGTTGCTTTTTGTGCCTTAAAGAAGATTCATTTGAACAGTTATATGCTTTCGAAGTAGGATTGATAGTAATTAAGAGGCATCTCATACATTTATTTCAAGTGCTATTTATTAGTCTTGAAATTTATTGCTTGGCTGTCTTTAGTTCTTAAAAAATTTATGGAAGTAATAGAATATGAATGTCCTCTTAAGGGACTATATATTTCCAATGCTTGGATGCTATACATGCCTTGCAATATGATTACATGATCTTGGGGGAAAGAAATGGAGAAAAAGGGAACCAATCTTTTTGTAACTCAAGGAAACTGACAGGAGTTGCTTCAACATATGAAAAGCATTCTGAAATGCGATATTAATTCGTAGAACGCTTCACAAAGAAAGTTAGAAAGGCAGCAAACGGGTGGATTTTTCCATCCAAAAAGATTTAAGGGAAGCCAGACAAAAGAATAGATTTTTTCTATTGAAAATTACTAAATAAAAAGATGCTAATGGTATATTTTTATTAACATATATTAGAATGTTACACTAGTAAAGCCAATTTTATTTTTTCATTTTCATTCCTATATTCTTTTGATGTACATTTTGTGGAGATCCAGTTTACTTCTTTTATTTTTAAGCTTGGCATTGAGTTATAGTTGATATATTATCTATCTAAAGGTATCAGTGCTTGATATCAAGATGGAGAATATAATAGGGAGACCTTGTGTAGGTATGTATCCATGTTGGCAGGAAAACATGAGGGTAATTTAGTCATGCTTTTGCATTTGAAAGTAGGCAATGAATAGATGTTTGGGCTATAGATCTAACCTCTACTTCAAAGGAGTTTGGTCTTCAATTCAAGTAGAGTTAAACAGAAGTATTTATAATTTGAATAGAGCTACCACTAGATATTAGTTTGCCTAAAAGTGGAACATTCCAAGCTACATCACCTTTGAGGAGGCTCTTTTTAGGGTGTGAAGTTTGTGATGTTGTGGATACTCTAGATACCATGTTCAAAGTTCAAACTAGTAATTGTTTATGATTATTTATTGTTGTGTGTATGATTATTTCGTTGGTGAAGGTTGCTTTATGAGTTTTAGTTAGCATGGATCCAATATGTATATCTAGCCTTGATTCCATATGGGTGGTCCTCTTGTTTACATAATGGTATAAGTGAAGGTTCATGTTGGAATAAATGGCAAATGCCTGTCAATCATTATATGCTTTTCAGCCTTGTATGTTTTATGTTATTGAGACTCTTTTGCAACATTTCTGGGAATGGTAGTAAAATCCTTAAAATCCTTGATGCAAGTGCTATACTGGTCATTGCTGTAGCTCCCTTATGTGGATGATCTTGGAGTGTTCAGGATTTGGATTCCCATTCTACTTGGTAAATTTTATGCAAAGTTTATAGAATCTTACTGCTGATTGATCGTCTACTCTTTAGCACCTCTCCTTTAGTTATATTCTGAATTTGTTAGGAAGGTGCAACTGTTTGACTACTTTAAGGTGAAAAACCTGAATAAGGATTAGTCTAAGGTTTTTTTTTTTTCATTTTCTTATCTTGTTTCTTTGATTTTGAACAAGATACTGGATTCCATATGCCAAACTTTCTGTACTTTTTAAATTGTTGTTATCCTCTGATTAAAGATGTTAAGTTAAATTTTCCATTTGGAAATCCTAGTTGAAGAAGTAATTTTCAGCATCAATCTAATTGATATTAAAATATCAATAGAGATAGTTTGTTCCTTGGCTTTGATATCTCTACCTTATTCGCTCATATGCTGCCAAAAGACACAATGGAGAAAATGTAAACACATGAGGCCATGGTAGCAGCTTGGGATTCTTTTGGGGTTACTGGTAAACTACAAAAATCACCCTGAGTTAAGATTCTTTAATGTCTCATGTTATGAGGGTACCAGATGCATTTTTTTTAAATCCTCTTAAAATGCATGATCATGCTTCCTGGATGCTTATCTTTGCTGTTTACCCTGTACATGATTGGAGTTTGAACTCTGTTGGTTTTAACATTTGTTTACAATGCTTTTGTAATGATTTTCCTGTCGTTATGTTACTAGGGCCTGTGCTTGGGGGCAATGATTGGCATTGGAAACAGAACGTGTGGCATTTGTCACAATCCATTTATCAACTTGAAGGGCAGGCACTTCATAGGAAAATGTTCGTGTGATATTATTGTTCAGAAAGGCATTAGCATTGTAGGCCGTAAGAGTCAAGTCTATCAACTTTGGTCTGGTAAACCTGCTTTGAGATCGAATAAACACGCTGCCCACTTCTTTGGTCTTATTAAAAAGGACATCATTTTTAGTTGTAACTGTCTCATATAGGACATTAATTAGAATGCAATTCACTGCTTGATGTGGCTTTGCGTCTCTTGAAACTGTCTAATTTCTGGCCTGCATGTTTGTAAATCTTAACAACTCTGCACATGTTTGAAGTCAGAACCTTCTTTCGTCAATCAACCCGCAATCATTCGTAGTAAATCCCCTACTTACTTTAATAAAGAGATATAATGGCATTGTGGTTCCTGACTTTTAACACTGGAAAAATGGAAAACATTAGTTGAAGAACGATTAACCTGGAATGCAAAGATTAACATAACGGGAACATATGGCAATGTCTTCACGTATTGGACGAGCCTACCAGCATCTTTCAGGTCCAAGCTAGCCAAGAAGGCCAACCCAATCCGAGTAATTGCTCGTTTTAAACACTTGGTAGTCTTTTTCATCAAGGGGCAAACTCAAATAAGATACTTTTCGAACTCTTTCGAGCAAGGCCTGGGTTCCCGACGTAATTCGAGGCCAACAAGATCTGTACTAGCAAAAGATACCTTCAGGCTCTTGGAATTCCCGCAAACTGTCTCCCTGTTCTAGTCCAGATAACCCTGGTAAAACCTCAAAGTAGCTTTTATTAGGAACCAATTATTGGCTCTTCATATATTTTTAAATGGTTATGGACCCATTACCCGCCGCGTCATGGGAGCAAAGCCAGGAGGACGGCTTTGGGGAAGGCCAGAAGCTGGAATTAGTTGAGAAACAGCTGCATGGAATGTGAGGTATTCTTCAAAATGACAATGATGTACATACAAACATCAATAAGTTGGCATTGTTTTACTTATTTGCTGTGAAAGCTCGGCAGGGGATCATACTGGGATATTCTCACAGAATATTTCCTCGTTCCCTCTTTCAGTTTTCGTCATCTTCGCTGAGGACGGTATTTAACTCCTTATCCCCTATGCTGACCTCGCATTTCTCACTATAAAAAGTGGAGTTAACAGGTGGACAACCTATCAATGAAACAGAGAAAAAAACATGAATTATGAAAACTATGATCCTTCTTTCCCTGACCAACCAGTTGTTGATCAATACCTTCCCATATGGGCTAGCTTACCAGCTTTCAGGTCCAAGCCAGTCTTCATTTGGCCCGACGATGGCTGGACGGATGTAGGCAACAGCTCAACACTTACCTATGCTCAACTCAACGATTCAGTGCAGTCCATTTCCTTTCAGCTACTCCTTTCATTGAAAAGAGGTGACACTGTAGTCATTTTATGCTCACCTGGGCTAGAGCTCGTTGAGATCATTTTTGGGTGTCAACGAGCTGGCCTTTTGAGCGTACCCATAATCCCACCAGACCCTTCTTTTGCCAAAGAAAACTATCACCACCTAGTCAGAGTTCTCTCTCAGACAAAGCTCAAAGCTGCCATAGCTCACCATGATTACATTACAAGGGTTCAGCAATATCTTTCTTCGCCCTCTAAAGACGAGAGGCTTGCAGAGATGTTACAAAACCTGTTATGGATTTCGACTGAAGATATCAAACAAAAAAATGTAGATTCAACAGCGGGTTCTATGTTTTATAATGGTAGCAAACCTGATGAACTTTACTTGATTCAATACACCTCAGGTGCAACAGGGATCCCAAAGCCCGTGCTTGTGACAGCTGGATCAGCAGCTCACAATGTTAGGACAGCAAGGAAAGCTTATGATTTGCATCCAAATAGTGTTATTGTCTCTTGGTTACCTCAGTACCACGATTGTGGCCTAATGTTTCTGTTATTGACCATTGTATCTGGTGCAACGTGCGTGTTAACATCACCTGGAGCTTTCGTTAACCGGCCTAGGCTATGGCTTGAGCTAATTACAGAGTTCAAGGCTACTTGTACTCCAGTTCCATCCTTCACCCTGCCACTAGTCGTGAAGCGTGGTGGAGTTGAAAAAGGAAGCTCGCCTATTAATCTATGGAGCTTGAGAAATCTCATAATCATCAATGAGCCCATTTACAAGGCATCAGTTGAAGAATTTCTTGATGTGTTTAAGCCATTTGGACTAAACCCATCGTCAATCTCTCCATCTTATGGCTTAGCAGAGAATTGCACATTTGTTTCCACAGCGTGGAGAACTAATGACAACTCTGGAAACTCCAGTTTCCCTAATCTTCCTTCTCACAACAAGCTCTTGCCAAGTGCAAGACTTGCTAATGAAGAAGAAGAAGAGGACATGAACATTATTGTTGTAAATGAGGACACCCATGAGCCTGTTGACGACGGAATTGAGGGTGAGATTTGGGTTTCATCTCCAAGCAATGCTTCTGGTTACCTAGGCCATTCTTTCTTAACTCAAGATATATTTAAAGGTAGACTGAGCAACAAGGTTGGCCGGTGTTTTGTCCGAACAGGAGATAGAGGGATTGTGAAAGGGGCAGAAAGATTTCTCTTCGTGACAGGTCGTTGCCTAGACGTCGTTAAGCTCCCAAACGGCCAGGATATGCACCCTCATTACATAGAGACCGCTGCTTATAATACTTGCCCACAGCTTATTAGAGGAGGTTGTCTCGCTGCATTTGATATCTCAAGAATGATCGTTCTTGTAGCAGAGATGCAGAGGAGTGAAAAAGATAACAAGATTTTGAGGGACATATGTGAAAAATTCAGAGAAACGGTTTGGAATCAAGAGAAAGTCGAATTAGGGATGGCAGTTCTTGTAAAAAGTGGAAGTGTTCCGAAAACTACTTCAGGTAAAATTCAAAGATGGGCGGCCAAGGATAACTTTCTAGGAGGTAAAATGAAAGTTTTAATGGAAATGAAGTTTGATAATTACCATGGGGGTTTATTACCATCCCCTGGGGCAATGATACTTGCAAGTAAGGGAAGAGGACAAAGAACAGGAAAAGGAAGAGAAGGTGAAGAGAGGGGAGCCCTGATAGCTGAAGAGAAAAAAGAGAATCCTTTTTCACTGTCAAGTGCTCCAACTCGTCATCCCTGGTTGTCTCGATTGTGAAAGCATTTAAAAATCTGTCTAGGACTAGGATGTTATGTTTTGCTTGTGCCCCAATATATTATGGAAGGAACATGCTTTAGGTTCCTTGCTTCCTTTCTTCGGGATGGTCGACAAGGGTGAAACCTTATGGCTTGTTGCACAACTTTATATATACAATATAGTATTGGTTCATCTCTGTTCTGTGCTATAGGAAAATAGATTTAAAGAAACAGAAAGAGTGAAAACCTTTCTATCTAATTGCCAGTGGCAGGAAGTCAAACAGGGTTCATCCCTTTCCTACTCTGCGTTGCATAACAATGCTCCATATGCTATCATCATTACACAATTATGAATTGATCTGTCTAACATTTTATCCCCAATTGCTATTGTTTGGACAATAAGCAAGACAAAATCACGAGGTAGTAATATTATTTTAGTATTCATCAGCATACACCCTTCAATCTCTGAGGTAGTATTTAAAAATAAGTAAAAGAACTATCAGACTGCGCTTTTACCAGTTTTCTAGTCACAAAACTACAAGCAGCAATGATTCCAGGCAGCTGTAAATACAAAAGCTCCAAATCCTCATGAAAAGCACGAGGTTTGTCCATGATAGGTGAGATTGAAAACCTCCTTTCCTCAGGAATTTGGAACACGTCATAATTACTTGAGTACCTATTGATCAACTAGAATGCATCGCTTGGGCTGCCACATTAACCTGAGTCCTTGCTGTTTAAGTCATGAACACATATAGGTTGAATCACAATACTGCAGACGCTCTCCGGATTCCCATAAGCGTGTCCCACAGTGTATAGACATTATAGGCATGTTCTTCGGTAATTCCATGAGCTGAAAAACCAGCAGATATAGGCTCAAAAGGCAATATACTTGTCCCTTAAGTTAAATACTAGGGCAAGACCAGTCATTACTGTTGAAATCTTTTAACGAAGCAATAAAGTTGACTTGGGCATCCATGCACATTCCCTCCATTCCGAAGTCTTTGTCCAGAAACTCTGATATGTAATAGTCCCATTCTTGGTAACAGCTTCTTCCTAGAAGTGACATATCACCTAAAAGTGGGGTTGCACCCCATCGAAGGCAACCACTCGAGAAGCTGGACGCAATGCCACACGAAGTTGTAGCCATTGGTTCTTCCATGGGGCTAAAAAACATGACATGTTAAAGAACTTCCATGTTTCTCACCAAACAGAAGCAAACCGTTGCAGGAATCAATCAACCCAAGAGAGATTACGTGTTATGGCAGTGTGTGGAGAGCAGCTCTTGCCTTGGTCTTTGATGTCAACCAAAGTTAGTTGGTGTAAAGTTCCGTCTGTGAAAGGTTTCTTGAAGGAAAAGGCAACGCCCTGAAGAGGTGGTGGGAGGGGAAGTATGGCGGAGATGGGTGACGAAAGCATGCCAAGCTTTTGATACGCAGAAAGCTTATTTCTTCTCCATTTCCATGGTTCTTTAATTTCTTGCTTGGCAACTGAAAAATAATCTTTTTTTTTTTTTAAAGAGAGAAAAAAAATGGTTAATCAAGGAAAACCAAGAGTCTATGGCTTCAGTCCAGCGCATTTTCACTGGGGTTAGAGTAACTAGGTCCACCGGGGCTACCACTGGGCCTAATGGAAGGGTTCCTAGTATTTACTTGGTTTTAGATATTTGGGGTAAGCCATGGCTTTCTTGCTAAGTAATAAGAAAATCACCTTAAGATTATATCAAATCACAATTGCCCTTCGCATTATTACATATCTTTTTCAGAAAATTTCACTTTCTAGGGAAAAAAATCATGCTTCATCTTGCTTTTCCTACTCTCATTATAGTAACATTCTACTCCGACCCTTCTATATGATTCAAGAGATGTTGTTGTGGTTGTGGGGGAGGGAGAGTATTATTTTCTCGGAAAATGAGAAAGAACGGTCTGAGTTTAGTCAACCTAGTATGATTTCTTTGAAATCAAAAGTCATTTAAACTTCAGGGTCAAGCTATCGAAGATGGGTTTGGATTCCATATGTCAATCAAATTAAAGTTAAAGAGAGAGGAATCTGTAGCTTTACATACTATTTTTGGTATAAGAGCATGGTAAGTTACCAGATACTTTTTTTTTGTACACATTTCATGCATGTGCATGCATTAGACTTACATGGAAATTAAAAGAATTAGCTTGGCTGTGTACTCGAATGTGATTATAGCTTTGTAATAACCTTGCATGGCAACATTGGTTTAAGACACTAAAAGTGTGGCTCTCTTACACTAAAGCCAGCCAATGCTCAGGCGATTACAAGAGAAGACATAAATGAAGGGAGGCCTGGGGAGGGGAGGGGAGTGTTCAAATTGGGAATTATGATACGGGGCGCAAGGGAAAGTTTCAGATTGGTGAAAGAGCTGACGTGATAAAACAAAAATGTGATAAAGTCCTGGGGGAGAGGATTCTTGAACTCGAAATGCCATTGGTTGAAGCTGTACTGCACCCAAAAAAAATGAACAGTGAGCAACCAAGTACCAAAGCAACAACAACGTGGAAAAGGGCAGAGACAAATAAAGCCATCGATTGCATCACGGAAAGGTAAAGACATTGCTTGGGGGCAAGCGTGGTGCTGCCAGAGAGTTGCAGAATGCGCACATTAAGCTTTGATGCTTCAGATCCATACACTCAGCAACAGGACAACAGCTCCACGGTGGACCATCCCAAAATTTTTATTTTTATTTTTATTTTTTATTTTCACTTTCAATTATCTCCCCTCTCTCTCTCTCTCTCTCTTACGCTTTTGAGATCTGAATCTGCAAGCACTTGGTTAAAGATGATTCTTTAGCCTGTAATGGGGTGTTTATTAGATCCTGGATACCTGTTTTTATTAAGAAAAGTTGACGTTTATGTAGGTGGAGGGAGGATTATGGATGATGGAAGAAGCAAAGCTACGTCGCATCAGGGCTGAGAGTGCTGTAACTATCTGCTTGGTCATTTAGGGGAGGGGGGGTCAAGTGGGCTAAGATAAGAAATAGGAAGAGAGGAAGGGCAATAATGAAGGGTAAGAGTGGGACCCAAACGTGGCAGGGCGTGGGAAGGGGATGAACATGACGTTGTCGGTTGTTTTGTACAGAGGAAGACCCCTTAATCTCATCAGAATCTCTCTCTCTCTCTCTCTCTCTGTTTTTCTCTCTCTAAAAAGATTGACTCCTATCTTTCCCGGCCTCACCACAAGCAACCAAGCTGTCTCTTGTTGGATGTGTAGTTGGCTTGTTGGGAGCACAGAAGCACAAATCCTAACCTAGAACTCAAAGGCCAAAAACCTCAAGACACCCAAACCCAAAATCTATCTTCTCTTTTCTTTTTTTTCTTTCTTGCTAATTAGAGATGTTTAGGCCCCTTGATGGTGTGGTAAAGGCGTAAAAGCTGGTTGCTGCCTGCCTGCCTGCTGCCGTATGCTGATCTCTTTCTCTCTCGTCTGTGAGTTTGGTCCCATTTCAACTTTAATGTCTTTGTTTGTTATTTGAGGGTTATTCTCACATCGTTTTATTGCCATAACAACTCTCTCTCTCTTCTTTTATCTCAGCTTACGGATTGTGTAACGGTTGAAATTAGCGGCATGGGTCGGTGGATTTTGGCTGCATAATGCTGAATATCGGGAGGAGGATAGGGGAAAACAACAAGATATCTAGATAAGCTACTTGCATCATCTCTTTCGAAACGTTTCAAGCTTTTATGATACACACAGAAGCACGGAAAAGATCCATGATTAGTTGAACAGTGAGCTTCCGTTTAGCTTGGATAAAAGATCATAAAAAAGCTCAATCTTTTTTTCAACAATCACTTCTTAAATTATGGAAGTGAGAGGTCAAGAACATGATATTAAAGCGCCAGGCTCTTCAGGCTTTGGTCATCACTCGCCTGGAGCAGACCGAAGAAGAGATGGGAATCATAATGGTACTGCTGTTCTCACTTGCACTCAAACCCTAGATCATGTTCATCGTCCACAGAGACAACAATCACTCGGCCAAGGAAGATCTCCGCACCCGGATCGAGTCACTGTCAGTGGTGCAGCTGTTGCACCCATTTCAGTTAGTTCGAACACAAAGCCATCCAGCGTCATCAGATATCGAGAGTGTCTCAAGAACCACGCAGCCAGCATCGGTGGAAACGTTTACGATGGCTGTGGTGAGTTCATGCCTAGTGGAGAAGAAGGAACTCTCGAGGCCTTGAAATGTGCTGCCTGCGACTGTCACCGCAACTTTCACCGCAAAGAGGTTGATGGAGAGTCCCAATTCGGGCCTAATTCCGGTAGAAGAAGCCTGATGCTTAACCCTCTTCAGTTGCCTCCACCATTGCCATCTCCAACCATGCTGCACCACCATCAAAGGTATTCAGTTCATACAAGTCCTTCAAGTGCAATGGTTGCACCCATGAATGTGGCGTTCGGCAGCGTCGGTGGCGGTGGGACGGAGTCTTCAAGCGAGGATCTTATGTTCCAGTCTAACGCTGAGGGAATGCCGCCGCCACCCCCTTATGTTTTGTCCAAGAAGAGGTTCAGGACCAAATTTACGCAGGAGCAGAAGGATAAGATGTTGGAGTTTGCGGAGAAATTGGGTTGGAGGATCAACAAGCAAGACGAGGAGGAAGTGGAGAAGTTTTGCGCTGAGGTTGGGGTGAAAAGGCAGGTTTTCAAGGTTTGGATGCATAATAACAAGAATGTGAAGAAGCAGCCACAGGAGTAAGAGCTCTTCATGGTTTGCTTAAATGAGTAGAGTGACGACATGTGAGATATGTATAGAAGGAGCTAGCCTGGATTAATCAGAGCCATTTTAGAGTGAGGACTTAGGGGGGAGCTGGCCTTCATCTTGAATATTTGTATAATTCTTCATTTTATGCCTTGGTTATCTCTTGGCATTGAGCACTGTTTCAAACCCAAAAAACAAAATCTTGTATTAATTGTTTCTCTTTAAATTATGCTAGTGCCTTTCTCATCATTTCTCTGCCCCTTTACTTCTGAAAACACCGTCAGAAAAAAGAAAATATCAAATGGGCATACGGTGTCTCCTTCTTCATGTTTAATGCCTGACTGAAATGGTGAATGAGCTCATTGCATGCCGGCTGTTTTTGTGCGATTGTTCCATTGGATCCAGCTGGTATATTAGTTCTGGCTAGCCTGAATCTAGAGTAGCCAACCAAAAATAAATTGAGTAGGGTCATTTTGTTGGGGACAATGTAAAGTCTTGCCTTATGATCTATTGTGCTTGATATGAACCTGGCCAGATTATACAACTATCTCTTTGGCATTTTTATTTGGACTTTGGAACTCTCTCTTGGCTCCTTTTTCAACAAAAAAATGCTCACCAATTCAATCCCAAAACCAAAAAAGTGCTATATGGAATTGGACAATACCCTCTCTCTGAGATTGTGACCCAACCCAACACATCTTTCCTGCTTGAATTTTTGGTGGCATGTTTAAACAACAAACGAAGGAGAAAACACCTTGCTCCCTACCGTTTTCTCCATCAGGTTTATAATTTGATCCTGTTACATAATTCAGACGTTTACAACTTTGGTTTCTGCAGAAATGGGGATTTGATTTGATTTGATTTGATTTTGACCTTCATTAGCCAACGCCAATATACCCTTTCAAATAAACCTTGCTTAAACCCCCCAAAAGCGTCCTTTCCTACCTGGGCCACTCTTTCTTATGAGCGCCAGGACAAAAGTTCTTGCCAATGGTAAGCAACTGCTCAAAGATTTTATGGTAAGGCTTGTGTGTGCTTTGACTTGCGTGATCATCACACTGTAGGAGAAATAAGAAGAAAACATAATTTCATCATCTCGCTTTCAGATTAATCCATGGTGCATTGCAGAGAAAAAGAAAAGGAGAAAAAGAGAAAGAAAGAAGTTAATTAAGAACCACAAGATAAAGTAATATTAGTGATTCTTGCCAATATTACATTGGAGTAATTATTCGATTCAGACTATAGCTGAAGTCTGAAGAACAGTAGACCTAAAAAGAATTAAAGAAATTTCTGCAGTCCAAATCTATTGGACGAGAACCAAGGGTAACCTATACATACAAGTTAATCCAAATATAATATACTAGTGATATGCTTTGCTATTTTGGTTCATATCCTATCTTAGAAGACTTAAACAATGGGTGCAGCGGCAGGTCCGGGTCCGGGTCCGAATGCCCTTGCCAATGCTGGTGCCGGCGCTATTACCGGGGCGGATGCAGGAGCTCCCTTCGGGGACAGCCAGCCATAATCCCTGAACCAGGCAGCAAAAGAGTGACAAACCAAGAAAGCAAATACCAAATTAGCATATAATCAGTAATTAATTAGTACTAAATAGGATCATCAAGTAGTTTTACCTGAGCTTGTCCTTAGCCCAGTCAGTCAACGACGAGGCGGTCTCCTTGACACTCTCCGCGGCATTCCCTGCACCATGTGACAGGGACTGGGTTATTTCTTTAAACTCTGTAGTAGCCTTGTCTATCTGCTCCGGTGAAAGTGCGTCTTCTCCTACCACGGACCGGATTGATAGAACCAGGGTCAATGAGAATGCCAGAACCAAAACTGTCTTCGCCATTTTTCCTTTGCTTTAAAGTTCAACCTTGAAACTTATGACTTTTGTTGAAAGAACAAATGAAAACAATCTGAGTGCTTACGGATTGAAACCGGGAGGTATTTATAGCTTTTGGGAGAGGAGACATCTGTGGCGAAACCCAGGGGCCTGGTGACTGGTGTGGTTGCCAAAGTCGGCGAACACGAGTAAAACGGAGATAGTTTCCCAACATTTTCAATGGCCGCCGCGTCTTTCTCTGTTAATTTGTGATTTTAATTTGCTTTTCTTTGTTTAGTTCACGATGCTGCATGAGAGTCGTGAAACGATTTACGAGCGAGAGAATGTGTTTTTAAGTTCCGATGGTTTCAAAATTAATAATTTTCTATAAAATTTAATATACCTTTACTGAAGTTAATTAGAAATAGATTAGCACATCATAAACTCATTTGACTATGGTTAATTTTCTTTCGTTTTTTCTTTTTACTAAGAGAATTTTGACCACAAATTCTAAAAGGTATTTTACCTTTTAATTTTGATTCTTTAGAAAGGAAATTAATATATGTATATATGTCATATTTACTTCTATACAATTTGATAAATAAGTAACTGAAATTAAGTCAACCTGAAAAAGTTTTTGTCAATTTCAAGAATAAATTTGTTATGTGACTTATCCGTATTAAATTTTTATTTATTTATTACATTTGAGCATTTAGTTCATTAATTGGTATATAGTTCTATTGTCTAAATAACAAATTTGAATTCAGCTTTTCCTAATTAAAAAAAAATTAGACCAAATAATTTTTTTAAAAGAAGCAATTTGGACCAAATAATTAACATTATATGTTAGTGAATAATTTATTTTAGGCTTATAAAGCTATCAAAACCAAATGCTATACTAATTTTTATGAAAGGGAATAATTTGATATTAATTACACCTAATTACTTGAACAAAAGAGATAATATGAAATGTTTTATTTCTCAGATTTTAACTTAATTCTATACTTAGAAAACCAAAATGATTTAAGGCATATTTGGTACAACAAATTTTAATAATAGATGTTGCACTATTATTAGTTAATATGAGTATAATTTTGCTTTTATTAAGTAAAAGTAAGAATACAAAACTAAGACATACACACAGAGAAAATTTGTAACAATTGTGGTTTGACAGTTTATGTAATAAACTATTACTTAGTTAGATCTTGTTTATACATTAAATTTGTACATTGATGTATTACACTACATTAAGTTTAAGTTTAACAAATAAGAATGCTAAATGCAATTGTTATATCAATACATAAATAAAATTATGATTGTTAAATATCATAATTTAAATGTTTTATATTATTATCTTAATGAGTTTTATTTGAAATGGTAAGATTAAGAAGAATATATCTAACAATTTAGGGTAAAATATCCATACATTTTAAGTTTTAGTTAAAATGGATAGTTTACTCCAAATTAACTTGTAAATAGTATTAACAGATAAATATAAAATGTCTAAAATACTTTTTTTTTTTTACTTATTTTCTTTTTCTCAAGCTTGCCAGCGACGCTCTTTTATGATTGTCGATCGTGAAAGTGCCATATTGTACCTCTCGGGAACATTGGATTGGCCATTCCTATTGTCGAATTTGGCCGAGGAATACCAAATCCAATGTTCTTGTAGTGTCGAGGAACTCTTCTAACTTAACCAGATTTGATGTCCCCACGACACTAGGGAGCTCCTCTAGTGCAACCAAATCCAACGTTCCATGACCGAATTTGATCTAGGAGCCCATCCAACTTAATTCGACGTTCCCATGATCGGATCCAGTTAAGGAACATTTGGTCAATGCTTGTCATGCTGGCTATTGCTGTATGCCACTATTACTCGTGATGGAGAAAATTTAGTCAGAAAAGAAGAGAGAATGTTGGGGTAGAGAAAGAAAAAAATTGTAAAAATGAAAAAAATTATATTTTATATATTATTAATTTTTAAAATTAATAAAAAATAAAATTATCTTAAAAAAATTATCATGTTATCAAATTAATAAAAATATTAATAATTAATTACCAGTAATATTTTTGTATCTAACAACATATTTTTTTTGAAGTAAACTGTATATTTTAACTATTAATGAATTTACGTAAAATTATAATAAAAACTTAAGAATTTGGATATTTTATGCAAATTTATACATTGTTCACATGACTTTTGAAAATATGCCTCAACAAAACCCTGTCTAGCAGTGTGGGGATGTAGCTCAGATGGTAGAGCGCTCGCTTAGCATGCGAGAGGTACGGGGATCGATACCCCGCATCTCCACTTTTTCTAAACAACGAAACGTTTCCCAATTTTTTGTTTGAGAAGGAAACCAAATTTTTTCCCGCCTTTCCATCTGACTTAAAAACACGCCAATTCGTTTTCTCTATTTCGTTCTTTTCATTTTTAGGTTCTCTCTCATTTTCCCCCGCAAAATCAATGGCTCCTTGTTTGCCCTTTTACCAAATCCATGTTTCAGGTGAATTCAAACCGAGATTTTCAGTTAATTGCTCCATCGGTTATCTCTTCAGATCTCAGAATACAATTTTTGGAGTCTGGAATTCGAAAAGGTCAGCCGTTAAGCTTCTTTTAGTGCCGTTATTTGATTTCATAGTGATGAAACTTTGTGTTTTGTTCTTTAAATCCGATGCGATTACCATTCGATAATCCAAATCAAGTTTATGCTTAACGATTAAACTGCTGGCCTGCTGCTGATGGTGAAGAAGAAAACGAAAATTTGAGATTGTTCCTTGAATGTTTGTGATAAAGCCACATGATTATTTGTTTATTTTTATTTTCATTGGCTACGTTTAATTTTTTCATAGAATTAGGCATGAATTTTCTCTGTTGATTATTAGTGCTATTGTTTTTTGGTAAATATTTTGATCTTGTGCTGATCGCTTCATACTTAGCTCCATAATCTTGATCCGCTAATTTGAATATTATTTTCGATTTTTTTAAAGTCTTCCTCTTGATTAGGCGATTCAATTACTGCATTTCTTTGGAAACAAACAAGGTAAAGAGATCATAGATTTAATGCACAAAGTACAGAACACTTGAGTATTTTTATTTAAAACTAGAAAATACGGTAGAATACTTACAAGCTTAATAATTATAGAGTTCAACCTTTTGTTATATTAACAAACTGACTCAACGGTAACATACACGCTTAAAAGGAGCCAAAGATAGGGGGGAATCACGTTGAGGATTCTCGATTTCTTTATATTTTTATACCTTTTTTTTTTCCAATTTTTAAAGATCCTCTGACAATGCAGCAGAAACCTTTGCTTGTTCATTGGAGCTCTAGATTCTTCATGAACCTGTGGAGGATTTAAAAGAACAAGAGCATTTGAGCAATTAATATAACTGTCTTGCCTTTTAGAACTTGGATGATTATTATAAGAGGTGGAGCATGTGCAAACGCCTTTGTTAGATTGAGGAAACATTTGTTTTTAGCTGACCTATTGGACGTTAGCTTCATGATCCAAGAAAATCAGTGTCATAAGAGGAAAGTCTACGTATTATTTATGAAGGGTTACAGAGGAATGCGAAATCTAAGTTAAAAAATATGGGGTTACGTCATGCATGAATGCTAGCTAGAAGCACCGGCTAAGGACTAACTTATTTAAGTTTATTTGTTTTATGATATTGGGTTCAAGCTCTTCCGAGTTATATAGGACCATGTGCATGTGATCAAAACAAAGTAGGATTGGATTTCATGTGGGCTTTTTCTTAGTAAGTTGAAGTAGGGTATGGATAGAGTATTATAAAAACAACATAAAGTAATAAAAAAATTTTATGGGGTGATGGGGATCGGTGTTTGGTTTGAACGCTAGCTACTAGAAAAGGAAAGGAGAGTGCATGACATGTTAGAGGAAATACGGATGATTTCAAGCGCTTTAAAAGGTTCATTTTTAGTTTACAATGTAAAGATTTGAAAATTTTTTTAATTTGACTTTCAATATTATACCATATATCATAGCTAGGGAAGAACACTGGATAACATACTTTAATTGATTTCCCATGTAGCTGAAAAGGGGAGGAGAGCCCGGTCACATATAATTAGGCAGGAAAGAAAAAGAAATCCCTTATATTATATATATGCTGTGGTTTGGAGCTCGAGGGCACGTGCATGTTTCATGTTTAGGGTGTCCACTAAAAACGACGGTTTTCGACTGCTCATTAACATAGTGAAATAATCTTTTTAGAGGAGTTGAATACATGAAGTTTTCTCAGATTTTGCATATTCCTCTTGATCACTTTGTGAAGACCTTGGTTCCATGCCCTGCCACGGCCCTGTCATAAGTTGACAGCATTTGGCATTGCACAGGAAGTCTTCAGAAAGATTACAGTGTGAATATGGTGGTTTTGCTAGTTTATTGAATGAGAATAGAATATTGTTGAGCCAGAAAATAGAGTTGCATGAGTAATAATTTTCTAAGCAGAAAAGAGGTAGGAATAATATTAAGTTAGCAAATAAAGAGATATAGTTAATTATACCAGTAGTACTCTACCTTTGCTCGCCAGCAATTCATCTTCGGTTACTCCCAGTGCTTCGGTAATTGGGTATAGGGACTTGACCAGATTCAATATACATGAGATCCGCAACAAGGATCTCATAGTGCCTTCTTACTTCCTCGGCAGATTTCTCACCGACGGCAGCGGCCACCTTTTGCCAGCGGTCTGGGGTGTCCTTGTCATATACAGCAAGTGCCTTCTCAAATAGCTTGTTTTGCTTTGGAGTCCAGTAGGAGTTAGAGTCACGTGATGAAGTCATAGAGCTTGATGCCAATACTGTGGGATTATGAATGAAAACAAAAACGAATATTGTAAAGCTTGGATTAGTTGGATGTGAAGGTGAAGGTTGGAGAAGAGAGATGTATGTCTATCAAGATTGCAAAGGGGGAGAAACTAACAAAAGAGAAAGAAACTAGGAAGGAAAAGAGATTGCTGCCTCAGTCAAGGCACAAGACGGAAGTCAAGGGGTGGTATAGGTAAGAAATTGTAACGCTCACCACTTATAAGAAGCAACGGTGGTGGGGTTGTGCAAGTTGGCGAATATTTTTTTGGGGCTACAACGAGATGTGATTCGCTTGCTTAAACAAGAGCTTTGATGGACAAGCATTCAGTGTCAAACAACTG